GTCGGGTGTGTGTGTGTGTGTGTGTGTGTGTGTGTGTGTGTGTGTGTGTGTGTGTGTGTGTGTGTGTGTGTGTGTGTGTGTGTGTGTGTGAATAATATCGTGGGTGTTACATTGATGCAGAGTCAAGGTAGGATTTCAACGGATGGATCATGTAATTATTAAGTTGAGTTTTCTGAACAATGATCCTACCCTGATCCTACCCCACAATATTAATCCTTTAATTATCTTAACAATTACGATATTTTAACATGAGATTAATTATAAGATTTATCAATAAAATGACACGTAATGCACATTAATGAAAATCTATATGTATATGAGAATATAAATATAAATGTAAATTATAATGAAAATTAATATTCGAGAGTTAGGAGGGAAATAGCCTTAATTTTCTTCTGGAGGTGGAGTTATTAGGTCGAGAGAATGGAAGAATTATTCTTCGAAATCGGGGAAAAAAAGTTCTTCGTCATGAAACATAGGATCGGGGGATAGGACTCGGAAATCAATAGGAGATTCTGATTCGAATCTATGAACGGGGGAATAACTTGGCTCTATTGTGAAAATCAAATGTTCTAACGGATTGGTAGGCAAGTCAGGAAGGGAAAAAATTGTAATGTTAGATTAAGGAGGGATTCTAGAGCTGGGATGGTTAAGGTTGATTGCGACGGTTCGGTTGGTTTTCTTAAAATTTATTCTGTTTATCACTATTGAGCACCCGTCTTGCCCGCCCTTTCCGGCAATGACGGATATGTTTAGGAGACCGCTTAGATCGTTGAAGCCAATACTCTTGATCAATTCACTACAAGGAAAAAGGGGAAATAAGTAAAGAGAACAAATTAAGGAGAGAGAAAGAGGAAAAAGAAGGAAAGTTCTAATTGCTAATCATAAACCTGGAAAAGCCATGAGTAGGACAAAATTAGAATGAAAAATAATAAAGAAAGAAAGATTCACCGCTTTATTCGGCGATTATGAACCTTAAGAGCCCTCTGTAATACAAATAATCTGAAAGACCTTATGGTGGAAAGTGAGATAGAAAGGAAAGATTCACCGATTTATTCGGCGACCATGAAAATAAGATAGAAAAAAGAAACTAGATAAATCTAAGAAACTAGAAGATCTAAAAAAGATGAAGAAAAAGAAATTAAAAGAAAATCCAAAAAGATTTATAACCAAGATTAAATTGAATTTAATTGAAGACTTACTGCTTGTTGACCACAGAGTTTGACGTAAAGAAAATTCTTAAAAGCCCTCGCTTCCCTCCCAAAAAGTTGTCATTGATTGCGGTTCGTAAGTTTTACTGACTTTAAGTTAAAATGTCGAAAAAAAAATTGACTGGAAATGAAATGTATAAACGAATGAATGAATGACACGATTATGATATGATTCTAAAAAAGGTTGATGAAATATGCTTGTTCGTAGCCCAGAAAGCTTCATTTATATAAAATGAGTAGGATCTGATTCTTTGTTCAAGAGGAGTGACGATCATGAGATTCTGAGATTGGGTAGAAGTGTTGTTTAGATATCATTACTTGTTCATGCCTGTCATATGTCTGTGTGCAACATTCAGACTTGCAACATTCTGATTTGAAAATTAATAAAAATTCTTTGCGTATTCCCTTTAAATAAAAAAAAATTGTTATAATATATGCTTTAATAGTAGGAGCAGTTACAAACCTTTCTCTTACTTCTTGAAACACTCATATTAATTTTCACAAGAGTACTGTTGCGGATATTGCAACCAAAGTACGTAAAACTTATATTGCCGTCATATCGCTGACCAGCCAGATCCCAAGGATTCTGGCTAAACTATATAACGGTCCTCGCGTCTGTGCAGTGTCGTGCGATTTCAGGTGCGCGGGCATCGGTCTGCTGGGGTTTGGTGGTTAACTGAATTAGATGACTCAGATATTGGGAAATTAACTCGTGACGTCCGTGTCCAATATGGTCGCCATGATAAAGACACTGTTGCATTCTGTCATAAGTGTAACCTACAAGTTATACAGCTTTTGTTTTTTTGTTTGTGATTTTGTTTAAAAGTATTAAATAATACTTATTGTGAAGATGCGTTTAAGTAGTTCGAGATATTTGTACATTTGCAGACTGTTCCTATCAACACGTAATTTTATCAAAGGTGAAAATTTATTAAATTGTGATCATTTGGCATATGGCATAGCAGAACAAACGAAAAACTGTTTTTATTTGCAAATCTCTAACATGAGAGATCCACCACATCAAATAAAAATTATTTTAAGCATGAATGGGCAAATAAATTTAGCCGAATGCACATGTAAGACTGGTTTAAGTGCAAAGTGTAAGCATATAATTGCTGTGTTATTATTTTGCAATCGGTAAGCAATATGCATATAGGTATTATAATTAATTAATTATGTACATATGTAATAAAATTTAAAAGAATAATTAATTAAATTTTTATAAATTTTAACGTTTAGTTTTTTACAATTGTTACATTTGCAATATAATTTAGCATTTATAAACAAAGTATTTCTTTTTACTTCAGAAAAGACATCGAAGAATTAGATCAAATATCTTGTACTGATATGAAATGTGTGTGAAATTTCCCTCACATAGCAGTATTGGACTCATATAAGACAGTTCCTCTAGCAGAGCATAAATGCTTTAAGGTTGAAGAACCAAAAGAGAGTGAGAAGAGCTCATTCATTAAATCTAAATTATCTATCATTCCATCTATTATTCCATCATCATCTATAATACATTTGTAAGATATTTTTCATAAATTATGAGATGATACAAATAATATATAATGGAATAATATGATAATCATAAAGTAAAAATAAATTTATTAGATAACTTTAAATAGAATTTTTTAAAACGATTTTTTTAATTGGAAATATTTCATTGCATTATATTTCTTTATAAAGAGATTTACAAATATATGATTAAATTTTGTCATACACTAATTTTATGCAAATTTTTCATTAAGCAAATTTAACGTAAAATAATTACAAATAATAGTCTTTTTTATAACATTTTTTAAATTTACACGTTCATTAATAGGACAATTATATATTTTACTTTTTACAATTAACAGTTTAATGTCAATATAATAAAATATATACTTTTAATATTTTTTAATTGTATCAATAAATTTATATACATCACTGTTGGCTTTGTTATTATTTGATACATTTTTTTCTAAATAATTAGGTGGAAAACACAGTCCAAAAAAAAGGACCTTGATTCAAGAAGATTTTTCTTTGCCAGATATCTTCTCTAAGATATACGCTATTGTGGACAATTTACCATCAGCACAAATGTTAGAATTATCTAACATGTTTTTAAATATACCACAGAAAGAGTGTTATACAGTTTGAATGGATAGCTTTTCGAAAGATATAGTTCATTTATGCATAGAAACTAAACGTTGTTTTGTGGAAAAAAGAACATCAATTCAGAATTACAGGATCAAGATGCTACCAATTGCTAACTTATTAAAAAAACCCAGATTGGCAATAAAAATCATTAAACTATTTCTATCCTAAAGAATTTACAAACAAGAATGTGAGACACGGGATAGAAAATGAATCGTTTGTGCGACAAAAATATAGAGAAATGACAAAGTGTACTGTAATCGAATGTGGATTAGTAATTTCTGTTGAAAATTCCTGGATCGGCTATACGCCTGACGGTATTATTTTTGAGGATAAAAAAATCTGTGAAATTATTAAAAATAAAGTGTCCTTTTGCAGAAAAAACTTCAAATATTTATGATATAGTACGAGAGGAAAAAGATGTTATTGTAGATTCATCAAATAATATATGCTTAAAAACTAAATATGCTTATTATGCTCAATTGCTGCAATTTGGAATGGCTATTTTAAATTTCAAACAAACAGATTTTGTTTTATATTCTTCCGATCAAAGATCAAATTCTTCCGATCATAATTATTCTGCCAATAATTTTTGATGCAGAATATGCTAAACAGTTACTTTCTACTCTAAAGATTATTTATTTTAATGATATGTTACATTATATTTGTGAAAAAATTAATATATTTTTAAATATTTTGAAATTTTATATATGTTACTAATTTATGTTTGTTAAATTTAGTAAATGTACATATTTTGAAAATGAATATTTCTTTTATTATAAAACTTGTAAACATACAATACAAAATATACACACATATATATAATATAAGAATAATAATGTTAATATTATTAATTTATATATAAATAGCAAATTAAAATACAAATTTATCATCTGTGAAGATTGGAAAACTTAGATTTATTATTGCTGAATTAAAAATATTTGTTCGATTTTAGAAATGAGACCTTTAGACATTTTGTCACTTAATATCTTGAATGTTTTTAATCTTTGATTTGTCCTTTCTATATGTATACAAGCTATTTTAGCGTTTAAAGAATTTCTTCTTTTGAAAATCTTTTCTTTTTTCTTAAGAATAATTAGCTTTATACTATTTTGCAGACAAATATTATCTATAAGAAAGCCTTTATCTATCATGATAGCCTTGCCTCTTTGTAAAAGATTTATAAGATTATTTTGTTCGAAAATTGCTTTATCAGATGTTTTACCACCATAAGCACGACTAATAAAACTAATTAGACCAGCTGGAGTTACTTCTGTCATAAATTTTACTAAATAAATTTTAATATGTCGATTTATAATTTGAATATATTATTGTTTGACAACAAATATTTTTTTTTTTTAATTGGAATCTCTGTGCAATCTAAAATAACTCTAACATCAGGGAAGTCTATAAAACAAAGTGGAATATTTTTCTGAATTTCTTCTTTAGAAGGAAAATGTATAGCATATGTTAAAATATTACTTAAAAGAGTTAACATTTGCAGAAAAATATTTCGTATGTGTACAACAGAAATGCCTTTGAAGATAGATAAAGCTGAATAAAATAAATTCATTTTCAATTTAACAAAAGTTAATATAACTTTAGTACGATAATTGTTACAGAAACATTGTGTTATTTTACGAACGGAGAAGAATTTGAGTACAATGTATGGGATTGAAAGTTTTTTATTATTAAATACTATTGTTGAAATTTTGAACGAAATATATCCAAATCCTTGTTAGAGTAGTATCGATTTGGATAGCAACATTACAAAAATTTGTTCGCTTTTGTATAAAATTTTGATCTTCAATTTGCTTATCATGATAAACCTGACATTCCTCTGCAAAAATGCCAGAGCAATTTTCCATTTCAACATTTTTCTTCTGATTCTCCAGTTCTTCTATTTTTTCTTCTCTTCTATATTTTCTTTTCTGTCTTTCTTTATTTGCCAATTTTTGCTTTTCTGTTTTGCTTTGCTGTTTTTAATTTTGGAAAGGTTACATGATGGCACAGCGTCTGGTTTTAAAATTCGTAATTAAACTGATACATCTATAAAATGCATTTATTATTCAATTATTGTTCTTATACATAACAAATTAGATAATATTATAATTTTATTTATTAACGATAATTTTTTACACAACAAGTTGTTTCCTTACCAGGAAACTTGTAATCGCTCCTTTTAAAATGCAAACTGCACACAACAGAATATCTTTTAACTATTTCCATTTTTAGTATCCTCTGCCACTCTATGCGAACATCTCTTTTTTCTAAACTTCCGAATGCATTTTCCACTGTAATCATTATTTTTCCTAGTTTAGGAAAATAATGGAAGCAAACAGTCGGCTCTTTCAAAGCTAAACTGTTACAACCATATACACTGCAATATGTTTTGCTTTCGTCATTCTTGGTGAAAATCTCACTCCTAATTCGTCATTCATTTTCTGCGTGTGCACAAATATTTCAAATGCTTAAACATACTCTTCACAATAAGTATTATTTAATACTTATAAACAAAATCAAGCTGTATAACTTGTAGATTATACTCATGACAGATTGCAACAGTGTCCTTATCGTGGCGGTCATATTGGACACACGACGTCACTAATTAATTTCCAAATTGGATACACTAAATTTATTTACGTTGTTAATATATATATATATATATATATATATATATATATATTACTTCGTTAAATAAAAATGTTTAATCACTGCACGGAATTTGTCTTTTTCCATTTTTACAACTGCTACCATGCTCACTTCCAATGTCTGCCACATGTGAACTAAGCGTCGCTTTTGGCTGAAACTTGGTATGAGGCAGTTTGAATAGTGTTATAAATATGTTTGTATAGTGCCTTTCTGGCCATATACTACACAGTTCATTGTGGCGCTATCTCGCAAAAATTTACCTGACTTATCGAATGACCCTCGTGTACAAAATATATTAGGTGTACAAAAAAGGTCTGAGCTTTTTTTGTAAAATTCAATCTTTATTCAAAAACAAACAAAAAAATATTAATCAGCGAAATATTCCTCGTTTGCATCAACGACTTTTTGCCATCTTTCGGATAGCTTGCGAATTCCTTGACGATAGAAGCTCACCGGCTTCGAAGCGATAAGGAATCATCAATGCATTTTCATATCTCTTCAAATCTCACGAAATGTGTATCAGCCAAATGATACTGCAGCGACCGAAATAGGTACTAATCGGAAGGCGCCATGTCTGGGCTATACGCCGCGTGCGGGAGAAGTTCCCAGCCTAACGCAAAGATATGGTCCTTAGTCGCTTTCGCAACATGTGATCAAGCATTGTCATGAAGCAAGATCACTTTACGACGTCCTTGGCCAGTAAATGGCCTCTTTTCTTCTAATGCATCACTCAAATTGGTCAATTGTTGTTGGTAGCAGTCTGCCGTAATTGTTTCACCTGGTTGTAACAACTCGTAATACAACACACCTTTCCAATCCCACCAGATACAGAGCAAAACCTTCTTGACGTGGATATTGGGCTTTGGCATCGATGTCGAAGGTTGATCAGGGTCAACCCATGATTTTCTACGTTTAGGGTTGTCATCAAGAATCCACTTTTCATCGCCTGTAATGATTTTGTGCAGAGAATCTTTTTTCCGGAACTTTGAAAGCAAAATGAGTGCAGTGTCACGCCGACGATTTTTGTTGTCTTCGGACAATTCATACGGAACCCGTCTACCTTCCTTCTGAACCTTTCCCATCGTATGTAAACGTACGGAAATGGTTTGCTGCGTAACGCCAAGCTGTTCTGAAAGCTTCTTTTCAGTTTGCGCAGAGTTTATATCCAGCAGTGCTTGCAATTCGTCCGTTTCAATCTTTTGAGGGCGTCCAGCATGCGGTTCATCTTCAAGATTGAAATCTCCTTGGCGAAATTTTTGATATCATCTTTTACATGTAGTATGACTTACAGCGTTCTCTCCATATGCAGCACAAATTATTGTAGTGGCTTCAGCAACATTTTTCTTCGGATGAAACGCGAAGTGGATGGAAAATCGAATATGCTCTTTTGTTATTGCCATCGTGAACACTACTGATTTTTTAGGTTATGTGCATCAAACGCCAAACCGTATGGCATTTTAGAAGGCAAATCAACACTTTAAAACCGCAAAAGGGCGGGAAGATATATAAAATTTAAATTGTTATTTCGGTTGTATGAAATTTAAAGCTCAGAACTTTTTTGTACACCTAATACATACTCACCGTCATTGATGCGTTGAGCAAGTACGCCTGAGCTTAAGAGCAAGGTTGGAAGTGAGACAGCTAACGTTAAGATAATTCGAGTGGAAGATGCACGAGAAACTTGCAAACGGATATGGGGAAGGAGTTTTACAATGCCGATGTGCAGAAACTCTTGAAAAAACACAACGTTAATCATTATTCTACGTATACGGTGTTGAAGGCATCGATCGTCGAGCGATTCAATCGCACGCTTAAGAATGACATGTGGAAGATGTTTACGCTCAACGACACTTACAAGTGGGTCAACGCGTTACCTCGTGTCAGATTAAACGCGTGCAAGCATCGCACTATCGGGATGCGACTCGCTGACGTAACTCCCGCAATCGCCAAAAGACTCTTGGACATGGTGTACAGCGCGATAAAGATCACAGGTCCAGCAAAATTCAAAGTAGGCGATTCGGTACGCGTGAGCAAGTACAAAACAGTTTTCAAAAAAGGTTACACGCCAAATTGGACCACCGAGATGTTTAAGATGGTTAAAGTGCAGCATACTAATCCCGTAACCTATCTGCTCGAGGACTATCGCGAAAAAGCCATCGCTAGAGCGTTCTACGAGGATGAGTTGCATCGCGCGACTCATCCAGACGTGTATCTCGTGGAGAAAGTACTGCGCAGGAAAGGAGACAAGGTTACATCAAGTGGTTGAGATTCGATGGATCACACAATTCGTGGATAAACAAAAGCAGTGTGATTTAATTCATTTTTTTATTTTTACAATATATTAAAAATAAATATATAATGTATAAATATATATAGAGTTTTTTTCTTCCATTACATTTTCGTAAAAAATTATACATATATAGTAACAACAATGAAACTTATAATAATATATATAATACATACATACATACATACATACGTACGTACATATGTGCGCGCGCAACACACACACACACACACACACACACACACACACACACACACACATATATATATATAATATATATAAAAAAATATAAAAATATATATACATTATATATACATGTATATTACAATGGAATCCGCCAATGTCCCCACAATAACGTTTCCGTCGAATCTGGTACGATGTATCTGGTACGATGACGTTTGTCATCGTACGGACTCAGAGCAATTTTCGACACTGTATATACTTTGTGTAGCTTTGATTTTATACATGACTGACGACAAATCATTTCGATTTCTTCGCTCAAACACGGCGTGTAATCATCGAAAGTTATTGTTCGCGCTACGATATTATTCTTTACATTTTTCGCCTTTTAGTGTCCTTTTTACCGCCCACCTTCACCGCGTACATCTTCGCTCTGAGTCCGAAAAATTCCGTTATTATCGCACTGTTATTCTCATCCTTCATTAGACCGGGTACTTTTTTTAGTCGCGAGAGGCATACCATATACCGTCTGTTGGATAATCGCTTGTATCGAATCTAGCGATATTGTGTTTCATCGTCTCGTACACATCATCGCACTCGATGCGATATGAGACTGTCCGTGTCGGTGTATATGATCTTACATTTGTCGCGATACAGGTAACATATACTCGTGGTGAAATTCGTACAAGCAGATTTTCAATATATCGAGTATACACATACCCACATAAATCGGCCTATCAAATTTCACCTCGAGTTTACGCAGACAGTGATTAAGTTTTCCGCAAAGACGTTGCGGCTGTGGAAATTTGCGATCATTACCTCTGCGCCATAACGTCCATCCCATTTTGTTATCAATTTTACATCCACGTGATTCCGAACATTTTTCATTGTTTTACTGAATACCGCATTGTTCATCAATTTGTATAAATTTTTCTCAAAATCGTTTTTCGCACATGTTCTAAAGTGTGTATTGAGTTTGATATAATCACAGAGCCAGGCGAATTGAGCAAATTGTAGTACGCAGTGTACCTTTGCGATACGAAGACCTTGGCGCGGGTTACGCGCAGTGTACATTGCTGCAGGTTGATAGTGAATGACGTAACTTCTTATCATATAACATTACGAGAAGTTTATCCTGTCGGATGGTTTATCGCGCGTCGGACAGAAAGGTATGTCGATCATGCAGATGATGCGGATACTCGAGATCGACCTCGAGAATATAACCCGTAGGCGAATCCGGAGCGATTGCGCTCGCGTCGTACGCAACGTCTTCAATCGGAATTCGGCATAGAGCAGCAGTTGACACATCACCAATCCGTAGATTGTTCACGTCGTAGTACATATATGATGACGGTTTCGACGGGTCGTACGCTTGTTATTGGCTTGCGCGTATCTGCCGGAACATTGATTCAGGCCACCGCGTATACCTCGATAAACATAATCATATTGATGTCGATGAGGAACTCAAATTTTACACGCGTATGTTTCAGCATGGCGTCCCATGTGAAACCTGGCAATGTGTAATAACGAGCGGGATCGAAACTATAACTTTTGATACAACTTTCGCGGAAATTTTCAAAAACATCGGCCAATACATCGGTTTTTAAATACAGATCGCTATATTCACCTAGGATTTCAATAGAAAACCGCTCCCATACGTTCGCAGCGTGCGCGTAATCGTTCTCCGACACTGTATCACCGGTCAACGAACTATAGAATGATTTGCGCGGTAGTAGGGGCGTGTTCTGCAGTTTGTCCTGTCGCGTTGTCTTGTCGCGCGATCCACGTATTCATAGGAAAAGGTACCTTTACGCGTCAACAAGTCAAAATCTTCATTTGATAACGTGGAAAATTCGGAACATAAAATTTTCAATTTTTCTTTCGTTAGAAAAGATGCCAATTTATCGAGGCTAGTATTTAAAAATTTGTACGAATCGATGAACCGCAGTCGTACGCAATTTCGTAAATCTGATTTCTCGGCGGTATTTTTAATGTGTTTTGTAAACGAGATGTATTTTTCTTTTGTTATCGGCAGCACGTCGATCTTCGAACGCTGTAGCTATTTCTATGATGACAAAGTGCGCATCATAACCGGATAAGTTGTGAAATACTACGGGAA